CTGGGAAGATTCACTCTCTCTAAAACTGTCCTGCTGACAACTCTCGCTCCGAAAGTCAGGGAAAGTCCAAAAGTCGCCACAGATCAGAATTAGAGGGGAAATCCTCCAATGGTGATACCTGTTCCAGTGACAACTGTCTGATAAAGATTTCTCTCACTTCCTGTTGGGTCTATAAGCCGTGAATTGAAATCTTGTGAAAGGGACACAATAAAAAAATTCCACAGGGGTTTAAAAAAAAAAAAAGGTTCTGGTGTTAGATATACTTGGCATGTTAGTGAGCAGCTTACTGTAACTGAAATCACCTTGAATGCCATGTGATGATCATATTACCGCATGCTTATAGTCTTCACTGTGCAAAATGTCTTCTGTATGATCTGGAACTTTGGTGCCACATTAGAAAAACATGGACAAAATAAGTCTGGAACCTTTTATTACACATTGGGATGTATAGGGGGCTGTGTTCCCCCTGGCAGTCCTGACACTGGGCCACAACCTATGTTGGCTTTGAAGAACTGGGCAGGTCTGCAGCAGTAAAAATTAAGATGATCAGCAGGTCGGGGGTGAAGAGTTATGGGCTTATAACCGCACTTACTCCGAAATATGCAAATATTATCTAAATACAAGAGCCATGCGTATTCTTCCTTGGAATCTTGGGGATCTTTGTTTATTTTTTCCATATCCGTCCAGTAATCCAGTAAGAGACTTTCTCTCTGTGTAGGAGCTTCCTGTTCTGAAGACCGGTCACTGCTGCTCTCTTTCCTTATGCAGGGAGACTGGTCTTGTCTCCGCCCCCTCAAGTCCTTTTCTGCAGGCAGCAGGTAGTGGGTGAAGCCTGCTGGGCCCCTCCCACATCTCTGTTCCCTGTACAGGCTGTGCGCAGCACAGTGATGACATCACTGCATGTTTTACAAGGTCATATTTGGGTTTCCAAAGGCATTTGGTGTACACAAAGTAGGTTTATATCCTTTATGGCTATTGAGGATCATATTTAATGATGGATTTTGTGCTCGGAGTTCAGCTTTAACTCATGAACTTTGGCATGGTCAAATCTCCAGATCAAGGAATCGTCTTCTTCTACAAGAGAAGGTTAGTTATTACAGGTTTATGGAACTGATGTGTTTGCTTAACTAGAGGAGAATGCTGAGACAGCCGGGGAGTTTATAGAGTTATTATTAACTAAGATGTATTGAGCATCCAGGCAAAACATTGACCATAGACATCATATTAACCTGAACTTCGGCCCTGCAAATAAGTCACGGTATAATGGCTGCCAAACAGCTCAATACAAACATTAAGTGATAACCATCTTACCATTCGAAAGATTTACAAATCAGTGCATATGGTCTTGTGGTCCACCCGTACCAGCTGTGCTGTATGACTGCATGCATGGGTCTGACAACAGTTTTCAGTTCTACATGCTAAGGATGAACAGATTTTTTCCCTTGGGGTAAAATGCATTGGAGAGGATACAGGAGGGCAAAATTAAAGAAGTATTAAACTCTCCAACTTTTGTTTCAATAATGATTCACATCAAACAAATATACCCAGCAAAGTATTTCTTTACAGCTTTACCCAAACGCTAACAGAATCATGCTTCCAAACAGCTCCAACTCTCTTAGCTCATCTTCCCTGAACTCCCTGTCCAGTGCAAGATCACAAGGAAGAGCTCAGTCTCCAGCAGCCGTCCATCTATTAGCTTGGAGAAGGGAGGAAAGAGGAGCAGAGGACTGGATTGTCTTGCCATGCCTGTGCGTTTGTGGAAGCACACACTGCTGATTAGCACACAAAGGATGGCTCCATAGGAGCCTGCAAGAGAAAGGAGTCACCCAAAAAACAGGATAGCAGGACCAGTGCTCAGGGGACCAGCTGATTCTGCAGGAAACTAAAAAAACTCTCTCCCCCTCCGCTCCAGTGGTCTAAGGTTCGTGAGTCATCAAGTTCTATACAAACTGGATGCAAGGACGCCAAGGGACATACTATTGATGCAGAGGGAAAGACAGGCAGAAGGGAGCAGTGTCACAGTCGGCTGGCTCAGAGGATCAGGTGAGCATAACTTTCTTACTTTTGACCCTAGGCAAAAGCAAGCACTTAGCCCTTGCAGTGCAAGGGTTGATAACATTTTTACCCAGAGTTGTTCTTTAAAATAGTGCAGTAGAGTGGGGGCCATTATAGCCCCAAAGGAGTGGGGGCAACTCCATATTAATGCCCATGGTTTTGGAATGGGATCTCCAACAAGCTCATATAGGTCAGGTATCTACCAACATTTGCCCATATCATGTACAATGCTTTATTTTTGTAATTTTTCAGCTTTCAGAAGCTTTACTTTTGAACCTCCTTGCTGTACCATATTTTGATTATTCTACCCCCAGACCTGAAGATTTTCTCTAGATTCAGCAGCTAGCTGTTTGACAGCCATACATGGGGTCTTTGGTTTCCATTATGAAGAGAGAGGTTTGTTGCACTCCTTACCGGAGAGCCGCGAATATGGGGAAGGGTGCTTGGAATGATCGTGGATGGCGCCGCCAGTTGCAGATAATATAGAAATGTCACCAGCACACCAGACCCCTTCAAGGATAATCAATCGTGGATTTATTCCTTCATCAGGCATAGCATAGTCACTGCTATGCCTGATGAAGGGACCCTGTGTGGTCCCGAAAGCTCTTGTGTATTTGACATAAGTTCTGAATAAATCCACAATTGATTATCCTTGAAGGAGTCTGGTGTGCTGGTGACATTTCTATATTATTTGGTTTCCATTAGTCCCGGCAGACAGACTTGAATTGTCAGGGCAGTTGAGCACAATCTTCGTGCAGCACTGCTAAGCTGGAAGCATATTCTGTATACAAGTGACGTGCGGTACCGTTGGTTCCGGGTGAGGCATTCCCCAGCCTCGCCCCCAGCACGTCCC